AGTGGGCAACAGAGCATCTTCTCTGATTAATATTTCAGCTTTTCTAGGACACTGTTCCATTTATATGACATGTTGCAATTGAAGGTACTCTGCATTACCGTGGCAACAGGGTTTGGTGTTTTGTTTTGTTTTTTGGGGTTTTTTGGGCTGGTTGGCTCTTCTTTGTTTAAGTATAGGCAGACCAAACAATCAAGCAGAAGATCTTGATGGGAGAAGATAAATAGACTGAAAAGCTCTTGTTTACTGTGACAAATTTACTGCTAAAACATGGATGCCCTGAGTAGCTTAGGCATTTGAAGCCGTAGCCAGCCTATCACCTAAAATACTCTGTTGTGGGAGTGGGTGAGCTTGGCGTCTGTTGCGTGGATGCCTCTTTTGAGGTTCTGTAAACACCAAGGAGGAAGGCCCAAGAATGGGAGAATAGCTTCTCAGTTGGAGAAGATAATTGGAAAAGGTGAACGAGAGGGTTTTCAGATAAAGGAATGATCCCAGAATGAGTAAAAGAAAGGCTATTTTTTATCTGGCTCTGTTGTATGGTTTTGGGGTATGTATTTAATAGGTTTCATTTTTTGTCATCATCTGATCATGTCTGAAATCAAGCTGTGTCTTAAAGTAGCATCAGAAACAGCTAACTCATAGTAGTGATAGTGAGCCAGTGTGATACAATGGTTGGAACTTCTTAATTAGCATAAGGGAGACCCGGTATCAGAACCCTATGGAGCTGTGAAGATCCCTATGCAGATCTGGGCAAATTGCATCCCTAGTTCAGCACATGTCACAGGGTAGTGGTGAAAATGAAATTGGTAGTGGAGTGTAATACAATTAATTTGGATTCCTTCAGGAAATTGTAAGCCATCACAACAAGAAAGTTGTGATGGCTTATAATATAAGTAAAAAAATAAATGTTTGGGATGTTTGTTTAGGTGTGTTGTGATTTTCTCTTGACACCTGAAATAATAATTAGAACATTTTTATATCCTATAACTGAATTCATTTTAACTGATTACATATTTGTTATTGTTACTCTCCCACACAGTTGCTTAGATTGAAAGAAATGTGCATATGTAAACTGATTTCTGAAGTTACAGTATTTAGGAAAATGTATACTTAATATTGACTATGTATACATAAAATCCTACAAACAGGATCTGAAGGCCTTAGGAATGGACCTCAGCAGATGGGAAACCCTGACATCTGAGCATTCAGCCTGGAGGCAGGCGGGGCAGCATGGCCTTTACCATTTTGAAGAGACACTTCACTTGTTCAGCAGGCCAAGGCAAAGAGGCAGTCCCAAAACCAGTCAAATCAGGGAGCTGGACAGGGGACAGATTGTATTTGTCTTTAGTGTGGAAGGGATTGTCACTCTCGAATTGGCCTTCTCAGCTACACTAGATGCTGTTCCAGGTCCTCCGTACAGAGCACGTTACCATAGTCTCTCGAGACTGAAGGACACCTAATTTATCCACATTGCTTCCATGTTCCATATACACAAAAGACTTCAAAATGTATCAAAATGTAAATGTGTTGAAAACAATCTTATAGTTGTGTGAAAAACTGTAGCCACAAATGTTTAAGAATATATGAAAACTGAACTTGTTGTATTCAAATGCTTAAGTCAGAATTCTATCCAAAATAAAGGACAAAACAAAATATCAAAAATGATGTTTTAAGTTACATTCTAAAAATGCAAGATCTTGCAGTGTAATAAAGCAGAGAATGCATCTGTAGAACACATCAGTGAAAAGTAAAGGTACTGTAGCTTTAATCTTTAGTTATATTTAAAGAGCATGGAAAAAATATCAAACTTGTTAAAAGTAAAATGCATTACTTAGCTTTTAAGCTTGTTAAAGAAATACAGAGAAAAAAATACATTTTCTGAATTGCTCACCATGCCATATCAGTTAAAGTCTATGGAGGAAACTTCATGGTGCTTGTGAGTTGTCTCTGTGTCCAGCTACTCTCCACTACATTATTGTTGTTGTCTGGCATGTGTAGCACAGGGTAAAGCTGTCTTGTTATGTTAAGGTGAATGAATGTGCTATCTCCCCATTTTTATAACACTTCCTCAATCAATAAACATTACTTATCTGTAGAGTTTGCACATTCTAAGATCCGAGAAGTCCAGCAACATTTTTAATAGAAAGCTCTATTGCAACCGTAATCTTCGTGACTCTTTGTTTAATCATTAAGTTGTGTCCGACTCTTCATGACCCCATGGACCAGAGCATGCCAGGCCCTCCTGTCTTCCACTGCCTCCCAGAGTTTGGTCAAATTCATGTTGGTAGCTTGGATGACACTGTCCAACCATCTTGTCCTCGGTCATCCCCTTCTCCTCTTGCCTTCACACTTTCCCAACATCAGGGTCTTTTCCAGGGAGTTTTCTCTTCTCATGAGATGGCCAAAGTATTGGAGCCTCAGTTTCAGGATCTGTCCTTCCAGTGAGCAGTCATGGTTGATTTCCTTAAGAATTGATAGGCTTGTTCTTGCAGTCCAGGGGACTCTCAAGAGTCTCCTCCAGCACCACAATTCAAAAGCATCAATTGTTCGGTGGTCAGCCGCCTTTATGATCCAGCTCTCACTTCCACACATTGCTAATGGAAAAACCATAGCTTTGGCTATGTAGACCTTTGTCAGCAAGGTGAGGGGTCTGCTTATTAAGACGCTGTCTAGGTTTGTCATTGCTTTCCTCCCAAGAAGCAGGCATCTTTTAATTTCGTGGATGCTGTCACCTTCAGCAGTGATCATGGAGCCCAAGAAGGTAAAATCTGTCACTGCCTCCATATCTTCCCCTTCTGTTTGCTCGGGGGTGATGGGACCAGTGGCCATGATCTTGGTTTTTTTGATATTAAGCTTCAGACCTTTTTTGTTTTTGCTTTTTTTGCACTTTCCTCTTTCACCCTCATTAAGAGGTTTTTTAATTCCTCCTCACTTTCTGCCATCAGTGGTATCATCTGCATATCGGAGGTTGTTGATATTTCTTTCGGCAGAGAACATAATCAATCTGATTTTGGTATTGCCCACCTGGTGATGTCCATGTGTAGAGTCGCCTCTTGTGTTGTTGGAGAAGAGTGTTTGTGATGACCAGCTTGTTCTCTTGACAAAACTCTATTAGCCTTTGCCCTGCTTCATTTTGAACTACAAGCCCAAACTTACCTGTTGTTCCTTTTATTTCTTGACTCCCTGCTTTAGCATTCTACTCCCCTATAATGAGAAGAACATGTTCCTTTGGTGTCAGTTCTAGAAAGTGTTGTAAGTCTTCATAGAATTGGTCAGCTTCAGCCTCTTCAACATCAGTGCATAAACTTGAATTATTGTGATGTTGAAAGGTCTGCCTTGGATTCCGCAGCTGAGCATCCTTTTGGCTTTGGCCCAACCACTTCATTAGCTCTGGAGCTACTTGTACTTGTCCTCCGCTGTTCCTCAGTACCATGTTGGACGCCTTCCAGCCTGAGTGGCTCATCTTCCAGCATCATATCTTTTAGCCTTTTGTTTCTGTCCATGGAGTTTTCTTGGCAAAAATACTGGGGTGGCTTGGCAGTTCCTGCTCCAGGTGGATCGCGTTTAGTCGAAACTCTCCACTATGACCTGTCCATCTTGGGTGTCCCTGCATGGCATAGCCCATAGCTTCTCTGAATTATTCAAGCCCCTTCACCACAACAAAGCAGCAATCCATGAAGGGGTCTGCAAATTCATATTTAGCTAATTACTATTATTATGGTTTTCATTTTGCTTTGACTATTGAATTTGCGAGTCTCCAGACTCCCAGTAACCTGTAATCAACAAGGTTCCAGAATTCTAAACCATTGTTATACTGTTGTGATCACCAGTAGGGTGTACTATTGGAGTTACAAATGCCATTTTATATAATAATTTCATCGAACATTCAGCTGTCAGATATGTTTATAATGCATTGACCTTGCTCTGCTGTAGCTGGCTAATTGTTTTCTTACACTTAAAGAATGTTTTACAGTGACTTATAGTAAACATTTTTTTCCAGGCTGTGAGCTCAGTTTTGGGCAAATGTTCCTGCATCTCACTTTATTTTTTGAACATTGTTTCAAACCTTGACAAAGTATTTTGGAGGAATAAGAAAGTAGAGCCAGTCAAATCAATTGGCTTTATTGATACTGTCCTCCTAAATTAAATGGCAATGGAACAAGGTCTGGTCTACAAGATGTACCTAGACTTTACTGCAGTCTGCCAACAATATTTAATTTAGAAATCATAATTCTTTCCATGATTGAGGTTATTGCTCTGCATTTCTGTAAATTTAAAATATAAAACTAGAAGAGCACACACCAATTTTTGAAATGTTTATTGTAAGGGATTCAGATTTTCCTCAAAACTATTAGTTTTGATGAAAAATGATTCAGTGGCTGAAATTTTGTTGCATTAGAGTAGGTCCATTGAATCAGTGGGGGTTTGATGAGTTAATTGCTTTCTAAGTTCTGTTGATTCAGATGGGCCTACCCTAACTGCGACTAACTTTGGCATAGTAGGATGCAGTTAGAGTAGAATCAGTGGAACTTATGAAGTTGTCTTACCAGCCCCCCATTAATACAATGGGCGTACTCTTATGTACTTTACTACAGTAAGCAACAGGGTTTTGACCAGTATATGGATTCATTTTCATCTTTTCAAGTAGAAAAATGTCCTTGCACTTTGTTTATGCAGAGATCGTAATTCCAATTTCTGGTTTTAGTTTTATTATTTAGAGGCCATATATTTTTAATATTATTTTAAAAAGAGAATCCATGCATCGATCATGACATTTTATGGCAGGAAGAGCAAATTTGTAGCTGCCCAAATTGTTTTGGCTCCAGCTCCCCTCAGACCCAGCCAACCTGGTTGACCATCAGGCATGATGTGAATTGAAATCCAGCAACATTTGCTGTGCCACTATTTCCCCACCACTCTTTTAAAGATTTGTATCCCTCTCATGAAATTAAAGAGCCAATTTTGGCCCTTCTACTTTTAATTATTCTCTTTTTTTTCCCCAGATCAGTGTACTGCTACTCGGACTTACCTGTTCCTTCACAAGTTCTGGTTCTTCAGTGTTGCATATTATTTTGGCAACTGGGCTTTTATTGTGGTAAGCAACTTTATTTATAAATCTTAGTCATTTAACATGATGTCGATTTTTGCATTATTTGCATCACCACTGTGTTGTCCTAGTTCTCTTGGTATTCCCTTAAGTGATCAATGATAATGTATCGTACTTATTTAAATTCACAGGTCTTCTTAATTGGATTAGTTGTGTCATGCTGCAAAGGAAAAAAGTCTGTCATTGAAGGTGAAGTGGATGAAGATGATTCAGATATAAGTGATGAAGAGCCTTATCTCTCTTTTGGTTGACAGCCCATAATCCTGAAGGTTAAAGCATGTGATGTAAAACTGTAAAAATGCCATTTTGGTTTGCGCTTGAAAAAAATCTTATTTGCCAATGTTAAAAGGGGTAATTGATGAAGAATTTATGTATCTTACTTTCTTCATATACTATGTACATATATAGTTACAAAAGAGCTAATTTTATGAATGAAGGATGAAAGAATATTCTTTTGACAATGTAAATTTGATTGCTGTGATGTCATTTAAATTGTCTTTCTTTCTGTCTACTTTTAAATTACTTTCTGCCTGATTCCCTTTTGACAGTGTTAAAAAGACAGGTATAATCAAACTGATACAGGCATTTTATACAGATCTGAAGTTTGTAATTGCTACTACTTGTTAATATAAAACTAATTTTTGACAGTAACTTTAATGGCACTTGGACTGAGAAAAGTACTAAATGAAAGCACAGAGGTTGTTCAAACATTACTGTATCCTCCAATAGCATGACAGGACCCATTGCTACATGGTTTCTCCTCTGCCTCCAAGCCACATGTAGGCTGAAATCCTCTGGGGCAGCTCTGTGTGAAGTGGAGGTGATGTCATAATCAGTAGCAAATCACTGATGAATAAAGGTGATTTCAGTGTGCACACAACTTCTACACGATGCAGACAAGTAACATGCACCCTAAAATTCCCAAATGAAAGTTTTAACCAGCTGTTGAGGCTATTATGTGGAGCTGTGCTGTAGGATTTCAGCCATAGAATGTAATTGTACTGCAGATGCTATTTGTAGATGAGCATGGGTTTCCTCTCACTATAATATTTAGAATTTACTTTCTTGCAGTTTTCAGGAGATTGTATTCAAACACAGGGATTTCCTTAGTGCAACTTCAGTGCTATCTCCAAATGCAGCTTGGTCTGTATTCAGTAGACAGAGAAGGAGTATCCATTCTTGTCCACCTTGCCATGCATTAAGACATGCAGTAAAGAGAATGTACCTGGATAGGTCTACAGTATTGTCTGGGCAAGCTAATTGTACTTACTGGCCAAAATCCTGTTGTGTAGCATAAGCCGAACATAACTTAGTCTGTTCCTCCATGGTAACCAAATCATCCCTGTTGCAATTCATGGGGTTGTGCGTGCGTGCACCAACCCAGTATGCTGTGCAAACACAAGAATAAAGAGGCAAGGGCAGTTTAGTTACTGGGGAGGAACAGACAGCAAGTTATAATTTGGCTCATGGTAAACAACAGGATTTCAGCCAATATATCCAGAAGTGTCTTTGTCAAAAGAGAAATAAAAGCAGTAACACAATTTCCATTGTTCTTCCACTTTGGCAAGTGCCATATCCCTGTGGTGTAAATCAGCAGCTCCTAATCTTGAGTCTTTGGATCCTGGATGCCATCTTTTAAAAAGCTACAGCCAGTAGTCAGAGATTCTGAAAATTATAACATTTAGGAAGCCACATCTGGAAACAGCTGGTCTAACTATTAGTATGTGGATTTTATTATATGTTGAATATTAATCACGTGGGTTATCTAACTTTGCTGTTCAGTGTAATTTAATAATAACAGATAAATTACAATGATTTTAAGTGGTTGAAATAGCTATCATTGGTTATTATGTTCAAAGTTATAACTAAATGCAAGTATTTAAAATGCAAGATTTTCCTTGCTGTATCATTTTGTAAAATAAACTGATCAGAATCTTGACTACACGTAACTTTTAAACATTTATGCATCATCAGACTTGCTATTTAATATTAACTCTAACATTTACTGTTTTCAGCCAGGTGATGCTTGAACTAGAAATGTTACGGTAATTTCTCAGTAAATCCATGTCACCCACTGATCCTTCTTTAATAGTGAGGGCTTGGCTACATAAACCATCTTCATGATGCCTCTGGGCACTAGCTAAAGAAGGGTGCTTTGAGAATCCCTGAAATGTGCATATTTGTATATTATACTGTGAACAACAACAGCAATTCTAAATTTCAGTTATTACCTAGTTACTGAATGTGCTTCTATGTCACAAATTACCTACCTGAAAGGTTGTCTTCAAATTACATGATAATGAACTCCCCCAGATTTGTCAGCTTATATTAGGTATAACAGCCACTCTTTTAAAAAGAAACAATACTTGCACATTACCTTTCATTTTCTGAAAGGTGCATAGATGTCACTGTCAAAGAAAAATTGACGTAATATTCAGTTTATTTGAAGTGATTACAAATAAACTGACACATAGATTTCTTCGTTGTGGTATCTTCATATCAAACATATGGATTAGTTCTTCACATCCACTGATGTCTCATTGTCTTATAGAGCTAAAGCAAAAGTGATTTGCTGGGAGCAGCTCCTTTCTATCAGCCACTTGGTCAACAGCCTTGGAGTGGTTTTTCTGCTTAATTTTAGCTTCCATCTTTCTCTTGCAACTTTGGTTTTTTCAACAGTTTCACACTTCAGTTATCCCTTAACAGTACTTTACTTCTCCTCAACCACCAGCCTTTGACCTCAGCTTTCTACTCCACACTTGTTTCATCATGCATTTTGGCTTGGAAAACACTTTTTTAAAGAAGTGCATCAAGTAGAGCAGCCAGATCCTACATACTGGCGGGTGTTCAAAATGCCTGGGCCAAAGCCATATCAACATATTGCAGAGAGAGGCCATCACTGCCAGAATCCTTCAAAACTGGCAGAGAAGACTATGGGCTTCCTTTTGGAAAAAGCCCAACAGCCCTTGAAACAGACTGCTGAACACCAGCCACCATAGACTCCTCTGATATGCTCCAAGCCCCCACTTTCAATTTCTCAGCTGCATGCCAGGTCTCTGCACTGCACACTTCTACTTCTGTGGGTCCATGCTAAAGCCCATATTTGATTTCATCATAGAAGGCCTTGACTCCATTCTTGGTCCCAGTCTCCTTAGTACTGATACAAGCACCACTCCCCAGCATCCTCTTGCATTCTCTGTCCTTCTGCTGTCCACCACATGAATCTCAGCTCAAGGGTCTATATGCCTATATAAATACACATAGCCTCCATTTTTGCTTACCCACTTTTGGTCTCAGATCCTCAGTATTGAGTCTCCTTTGCCCTGCACACATCATTTCCAGTTCAGCAACTGGATTTAACCTGTCTTCCACAGTCAGCTTTCTTCATGCCGATTCCCTTGCAGATACAGCTTTTGGCACTAACTGCCCCTTCTAACACATAGTTTACTTCGTTGTGAAGAGGTCTGACTCAGACTGCTCACACTGATCCTTTGATGTCTCCACTCGTCAGGTAGTTATCCCACCACTCCAGCATATTTGACATAGAACATGATTGTTCTTCCTGCTCCCTTTTACCCAATTACCCCCTTCCCTATTGCAGTAAGGGACCAGAATCTTCTCTTTCTAGCTGATGACATTATTATTATTAGTTTTATTACATTCAGCCACATGTGAACCAGCTCCACTGCATGATGGCTGCCTTCAGACTCAAAAATTCCACCTGACACTGTCATTTATGCAGTCTTCCAAGAGAGTCTAAGCCAGATTACAACCCCTGGTTGCTGTCCTTGTCCTAACTTCTTTACTTCACGTAGTCTGGCACACACTCAGCCCCTGTCCTCAATCTCCTGAAGATGTGACACGGGTGCATCAACAGATCCTTCAGTCACTGTACCTTTCCACTGATCAAAACGTCACAAAATCACTCAGCTGCACTATCACAGTGACCCATAAAGGTAAAGGTAAAGGTAAAGGTAAAGGTAAAGGTTTCCCTTGACAATTTTTGTCCAGTCGTGTCCGACTCTAGGGGGTGGTGCTCATCCCCGTTTCCAAGCCATAGAGCCAGCGTTTTGTCCGAAGACAATCTTCCGTGGTCACATGGCCAGTGCGACTTAGACATGGAACGCTGTTACCTTCCCACCGAGGTGGTTCCTATTTATCTACTTGCATTTGCATGCATTCGAACCACTAGGTTGGCGGGAGCTGGGACAAGCAACGGGCACTCACTCCGTCATGTGGATTCGATCTTACGACTGCGTGCTCTCTAATTTTCAGTCCCACTGGGCGGGGCTCCACCTCTCATGCATGCAACTTCACCCCTATGTGCATGTGTAGCTCTGCCCCCTGCACACGGTTCTGTCGCAACTGGAATCAAAGGAGATGAAAATGATCACTGCACGGAGGAGGAGGAAAGCTGCACAGAGGGAGGCAGAGTCTAACATGCCTTAGAGGAAACCTTGGTCCTATGAGAGGCAGCTCAGTCCTAGGATTACAGATCAGATCTTCTGCCAGTGGGGATGTCCCCACATAAATCTATTCACTTTGCCAACAAAACGCTCTGCTTCAGGCTCTATGGCAGGTCCTTGAACCACAAGAGCTGTCAAGAAGATGTGTTCTTTCACAGTTGGCAAGGCCTTCCTCCTTATTCCCCTAGTCACTGGAATGATTGCCAAACTCTAGGATGATCATGCTCACTGCATCTTGGTGACCATGCTAACACTGGTTTCTTCACCTCCTCAGGATCTCCCATTACCACTAGCAGCATTCCCATCGGATCCCAGACCTTCTCACACAGCCTCAGGGCTCTCTTTGCCATGCAGACCTCACTTCCCTTCACCTGACAATGTGGTGTATCACTCCTCTGGGCCATTGCCCCTGAGGTAGCTTGCATAGGTTTATATTTATTACCTGACAATGTGATAACATTCCTTTAAATCAAACTTTACAATCTAGTGCATTAACTGTAAAGAACAATAACCCTTTCCAAACTTACAATTCATTTTTGTAATGGGGATCTTGCCTTGTTAGAAGTGGTGTGAAAATGAATATTTTATTTTTCTCATTAGTTGACCTATGATATTCTAGAAGTGAATTCTGGCACCTTGGAATGTATTGTATTAAAGGGCAACGCTTCAGCACTACAAGTTTTATTAAAATTCATTATTCCATTATTATATTATATTGCACTGAACTTCATTTTAATATAGATCTGTTGCTTATTTTGGAATAATTCATAACCATGATGCACTTCAATGTGATATTTATTTCTCCTCATAATCTCTTGAAGTAAAATCTTAGTCATAATTGTTATACATATTTATTTCTATGTTGCTATTACATACTTGAATTGGTGCAGTTGTGTTCTAATCTTAGTGTGCTGAAATAGTAAATTTAGTCTTCATTGGAGAGGAAGATAATTTATAACTTAATAACGTGTTCCTTTTAGTAGGTTTACTGTTGTATTTCAGATAAATCTGTCATCCAGTGTTGAGGTTATCACATCTAAAAATGTGACAAGTCCATGTGGCTTCTGAAGTTAATAGGAAAATCCAATTATTTAAGTCTTATAAAAGCACATTTATTTTGGGGTGTTTCCAGATACTTTGCTCAATGCTGTGAATCAGGAAGTAATATGCAGTTGTTCTGCTTCTTTCTTCTTAGTTATCTTCCTTTTTCTTATCAAGAAAAGGAAATGTGATAGGAAAATAAAAGAGTGTTCCACATTCATTAGAATCTGAACTGGCGTTTCTGTGACATTTACATAGGTTACTGTGACTAATTGATGAAGTGCTGAGGTGCATCTTAGTTGCCCAGTCAGGGGCATGACGAAACACCACAACTGAACCGTGCCCTGGTACAGCCATCAATTATCTGTAGGAATTTATGCAAATCACACAAATGCCATTAGAATTCTGATCAATAAAGACAGTAACATAGGGATACTCTATAAATCTAACTGTGAATAAGACAGGATAGTTGTATCATAAGTCACACTTAGAAGCATCCTTAGTCTCTTGGGCCTGCACTTAAAAATTGGTGTGAAGGGTACAAATACATCATTGTTCCAGTATTAGTCTTTCAATATCTGTCTAATGAGCTCACAGACAAAGCAGAATGTTCAGTGCTTTTGATTGTCCTTCTATAGCTAACAATCAGTTTCCTTGGTTCACGTTTCATTTATTGTCCTGTATGAGGCTTAATTGACATTTACCTCAGCTATACTCACAATCGTAAACTGGCTGTTGTTTTTCACTGTCACACTTTGCCACCATGTTAGATTGAAGATAGATTATACCTTTTGACATGGCCATTATTTTTGATGTATCATGAGGGTAGGAGAACATCTTCAAATATATTCTTCAGATTTCTGAGAAGCATGTGCTCTTCCCTATAGAGTCAAATGGCCTGTAACTATTATATTCATTGTTTGTGACCTTGTTCTAAGAGGTCTTCAGTACTTTTGTGCTCATACATCAAGATGTTGAGCAGAATTTCCTTGAAATGCTTTCTTGTGTGGTTACCCTGCATTTCAGTGGCTGTGTTCAAAAATTGTGCTAGGATTTTGCTTCTTAATGCAAGCCCTTTAGCTCACATTAAATCCCTATAAGGACTCTTTCATATGAATGTTTTGCCCAGAAATTTGACAGGGGCAAAATAAACAGACAGGAATACGTATTGACATGTCATAACATGCATGAAATCATTTCAGTATATTTTAGGTTTTTACCAATTATGAACTTCCCAAATCTGTCTGGCTCTATAAACTTGGCTCAGAATAGAGAGTAACTGGACATTAGACAATCTGTGAAATGTTTATGGAACTTGTGCATCTTCTTGAAGGATGTTGATACTGCGAGAGAAAATCTGCATATTTATACTTGGAATCAGTTACATCATGCGAAAGGCCAGACTGGAGGAATCCCAAGACGGAATTAAGAT